CGGTGAGACAACTTTCTCTTAAATCCATACACACATACATACATACATACATACACACACACACACACATACATACATATAGATAGACATAAACAAACATACAAACATTCACAGACACGCACGTGCACACGGAGTCATATACGCGTATACAAAGACACATGAAACGCACACAGACATAAAGTACATACGCGCAGGCAGGCACATCACACACACGCATACACATACACACACACACGCATACACATACACGCAGACACCTACGCCGAATATCAGAGAACAAATTGAGGAAATATAATGTTTGGAAGTAAGAAAAAAGAATGTTTTGTGGTAAATATTTAAGGTAAATTACTAGAAGTTATAGTTAATGATGGAAAGTTTTAGAGATGTATTCGTAGCTGAGAGAATTAATTAAAGAAAATATTATGCATTTTAGATTTAAGTGGGATTTAAATTTAAATTGAAGTTGAAAGTGAGTCTCAATAAATTGTGTTCAAACATCTTGAATTAATCCATAAAAGTGATACTCTTTAGTTTTTTAGTTTATAAAAGATTTGTAAAATTTAGTCGAGAAAGAGAGGAAGAGAGAGGGAGGGAGAGAGAGAGAGAGAAGGAAGGAAGGAAGGAACAAAGTGATTTTCCACTATAAATGAAAAAGACTCAATTTAGAAATTCGTTTTTCAAAGCTTTAAAAGTGCCACCTGCTCACTGTCTACTAGCAAAAAAAAAAAAAGAAAGAGAAAAAGAATACTAAAACACTAACAACTTTTACTTAAAATGAAAGACTTAAATTTGAAATTATTTAAAAGAAATTTTCCTTACTTAAAAATAGAGAAAATAGTATTTAAAAAAAACTGAAATATTGGGTAGAGTAAAGATTATAGCTAAAATAAACCAAAAAAATTTCCCAGCTAGGAAGAATTCTAAAATATTTATTGTCAACAATTTTGCTCTTTATCATTGTCTAATCACAGCAATTATTGATTTCTAATCTTGATTAGAAAAAAGATTTGCAAAGGAACTAAACAATTTGTATTTTAGAACAGAAACAGATGAATTGATAAAATGATAAATTAATATGAAACACATAAAAAAAATTCTAAAACTAAGCGAAATAAATGCATTTAATTTCATAAATAAATTTAAAATGAAAAAAAAAAAAGAAAAAGCTAAATTTGAATAAGATAATTTGAATCGGTAAACTATGAAACAAATAAAAGTAAAATGTATAAGAAATTAAATAAATTAAAAAAGTGCCATATGAGAGAGATAAATAAATTTAAGACTATTTCATTGCTTAAATCATTGATAAATTGGAAGGAACTAAAAGAAGAAAGAAAAAAAAAAAATGGACAAAAACAATCAATGAACATTTAAGTTAAACTAAATTTTCTGTTTATTTTTTTTTCCTTTTTTCTTTTTTTACAAAGGAATGTAAGGAAACTATCAAAAAGGTAGCAAAACAATTTAATGATTCTTATCTACGATAATGTTGAAAATATCACAACAAACATTCGATAGTATTTTGATAAATTTAAGATGAAAATTTTAGAAAAATGTAAAATTAGAATAAGAAACGATAAGAATTTTAGATGTATGACAGTGATTTGATGCTCAATTAAGAGCCATTGATTGTATAAATTTAACAATACCAATACCAATTCTTTCAAATATATTTGAAAATGTAAGTTCACTTGTAAAAAGATTGCATTTGAGTGAAAAGATTTTCAAAGAATTGATGAATGAATCATTCTTGACAATATACTATTGCAGTAGTTTGTGTGGTTAACGCTAATTTTATTTCACTCTTTTAAAATTACACATTTTAAGAAATAATTTCAGGAATTGATGAATCATATTTGAAATTTTTAAAATTGATATTTTTGCATATAATATAAAATGAATCGTTAACTGTTCTTTCCATTAATTTATCACTTTTTTTTTTTTTTTTTTTTTTTTTTTTAATGGGATTACATTTGAAGAGTAAAACATAAATACAAAATTATTTTTATCGGTTAAAAAAAAAAAAAAAAAAAAAAGAAAGAACAGAAGCAGTTGCTCATCAAAATTACAGAAATCTAAAAAATGCTTCTTTTTTTTGTTGTCAATTCGATTATTTGTTAAATAATAATGTGAGAGAGAGAGAGAGAGAGAGAGAGGAAGAAAAGGAAAAAATTAAAGAGTAATAAATTAAAACAAAAAAAAATGAAAAACTATTGGCAAGTTATATTTTTGACGTAATTAAACAACTACATATCATCTAGTAAAATGTATCACATCAAAGTCCTAGAAAACCTAGAAATAATACTAAAAAAAAATCCTAAAATATAATCCTGAAAATTTTTATCTAATTCGGTGCTAATCTATTCTACTTAGATTCAGATATAATCAAACAATTTGAATAGCCTAATTTAATAAAGTATTATATTAACAAGTTATTAATCATACTTTAATCCAATATTCATATATTTAAATAAACATTTTCTAAAATTTAATAAATAAAATGGAAAAGAAAAAAAAAAGAAGGAAAAAGATATGATCTATAAATTAATTGTGTAAATTAATTTCATCCTAAATTATCCATAAATTTTATGCCAAAACTCTAAATTTCAATTCGATTTTTCACAGCATTTAATTTATTATTGTTTAATAAACAAACTGCATAAAGGCAAAATGTAATGCATAAGAACAAAAATGTTGTCTTGTAGATATATCATAAACATTTTATGTGACTCTTCTGAATTGATAAATTCATCAAAATGTTTTGTTGCTATGCAAACAAAAAAGAAGAGGAAAAATTGTATGATTGATTCCATAAAATTAGAAAGAAAAAGGAAAAAACTCTTTCTAAGCATATTTTTACTTTTTATCTCTAAAATGAATAAATAATATCGTTTAAAAATATTTTGTAAGAAGAAAAAATTTTATTTTTTTTTATAAAAAAAAAAGAATTCTTTTATCTGCACAACATTCACAAAATTCATAAATTATTCTAAGCATAAAAAGAAGCTTTGAAAAAAAAAAAAAGGAAGAAATGGATGTTTTGTTTTATAAACATTTACCGCCTCCACAAATGCGCCTTTCAACAGCATTATCAAAATGTCAATTTTAGTGCAAAAATGCTACAAAATAATTAGAATAAAATCTTTTAAACTCGAGTTTAAATATAAAATGAATGACTCAGTGTTTTCTTCTAATTCTTCATCGTCACATCTTTCATACATTACAAATGTGTAAAATCGGAATTAAGGAACACCTGACGCACTAATTTGAACAGAAGCGCACATTGTGATTAAATTTCAAGCAGTAATGAAATACCACTAACTTCAATAGTAAAAATCAAAATTAAATATGCCAACAAACAATATCGCAAATTTTACAAATCAGGTAATTTATCAGGTAATTATGAATCCAAAAAGGTCATAAAATTGGGAACATTGAATAAAATTTCATAGTTTCTAATTTTTTTTTTTTTTTTTTCACTCTCTTAGTTAAACACAACGCTGATAGAGAAATCCTCAAATAACTTTGTATTTCTGTTGCAATCAATTTTATTTGTATGTTTTTGAAAGAAAAAAAAAAAAATAAAATTAGATAAAATTTGATTATATATATTAATCAAATGGCATTAATGAAATTTTTTATCACTAATTTGTAGATTAATCAAAGATTATCACATTTGAACTGATTAATTCTTTTTTCCACTTTGAAAGAGAAATAAGGTAATGTGTAAAATCTTTTTGTAAAAAAAAAAAAAAAAAAAAATTAAAAAAATTTGAAGAATTGTTGATTCCTGATAAGATAATACGTTCAGGATTTAATGAACTGAACCCGTTTGGGTAACTTTTAATTCACTTGCTAATTGATATCTTAATGATAAATTGTCATCCATTCCTTTTGCACCTTTTCAGGACCTAATTTATTCGAAATATACAACTAAATTAGTAATTGCTTAAAATAAAAATAAACTTAAAAGCCTAACCTTACATCAAATCTATATCTGATATTAAATAATGATACAATTAAATCATAGAATTTAATTTAAACTAAGTGGAAAATTTAGAAATCAAAAATTTTTTCATGTAATTTTTTCCATTATCTAAATTTTTGAAAAGCTATGCAAATGCCTCCTTATCTGGCATGTTATTAGAATTATTCAAATGAATCTGTTGGAATATCATCATGACTTCTCCGTTTTTCATCCGGAAAAAAATGACAAATTGCTAAATTAGTGAAAAAGAGTGAAGAAAATTCAGGAATTCTTAATTTGATGAATCAATTATCTTAATTGCTAAGATTTAGTGTTTGATGACTAATCTTAATGAATACTGAAATCATACAAGATGTAATCGTTAACATCTTATATCATCATTACAATAATAATGATATCACCACCATTATCATTATCATCACCGCTACGATCACCACCATTATCATCATCTAATCGTTGTTATCATTTTCATAATCACCGTTATCGTCATTATCACCACCACCACCACTACAATTATCACCATTACCACCACTTAATCATCATTATCATCATCATCACCATCATCATCATCATCATCATCATCATCTGCTTAATCATGCAAACATTTCGACGAGACAGACAGATCAATTATTAGATAGACAGAGAGACATACACACACATATTTGAATAATGCAATTTGCTTGGCTGCGGATGATTCTCATTTCCTCTCATCGAACCGTTTCTATTAATCGATCATCGTCTTCCATCGTACTTTGATCTTTAAGCAAAAGTTTTGAAATTCTGATTTATTTGATCCAACTCAAAAGTATGTACAAATAAATTGCTAACATTACTCCAAATTTTAGTTTAATTCAAGAAGTTTATAAATCTTCTCAGACACGAAAACAATTAGAATCCATCCATTATTTGAGAGGTCAGTGAAATTTCTCGGAATTATTGATTTCCTCTTAATCAAAATAATCTTTCTGCTTTGTTACATTAATGATAAGAGAGAAATTTCAGAGGATGGATGATGAATACTTGCAGAATAGGTAACAGTGTGATATTTTTTTATTTGGCGCTTCTGTCATACACTATAGAAACATTCGGATATTTAGTCAATGCACCATCGGGCAACGTTGGTTCATTTTATTTTCACTTAAATTTGGTTCAAATTTAAACGTGAAAGTGATTCGAGACTTAGAAATCGGGACAAGTTGCTATAGCAAAATAAGATTCTACGAAAAATATAATTCTTGCTTTTAGAAGTTATGGAGAAGAGTTGAATTTTTTAAATAATTTTAGACTAAAAATTCTGTGAATGATTATCCCAAAGATGCATCAAAATTTATCTCCACACCTCAGCAAGGTGAGTGCTTTTTCATTTGACTGTCTTTTCTATCATCTTGTATTCTGCATGTGTTAAATTCATGAAAATTAAATGCGATTTATCTTCTTACTATTATTATATGAATTGTTTGAGGAAATTATAGCGATATGTTATGTAGTGCAAATGTCACAAAGTTCAAAGTTCATGTCAATCATCCTTATAACTATGCTATTTGTAATTGTGATAAAAATAGTTAGAAATAAAATTGTGTCATATATTTTAGAGATGGGACAGCCTGGAAAGCATTTCAAGGGGAGGATGATAGAAGATGATCGTCGTGTTCATACTAGTAAATCGGAAGAGGACAACGAAGGGGAAAAGGAAGATGAAGAGATTCATCCAAATGACAGTGATCTAAGCGAAGAAATGTATGTCATGCTTTATGTTTATCTCTTAACTGATCCTGTACAAAGACAAATATCATCGCCCTTAACAATGATATCAGTTAATTACTTTTTCTACAAATATAAAACTACATTATAGATTTTTTATTATTAAACTTTTCTTTGCTTTAGAAACTTTAAGGAGTTTTTTATTTTCTATTTTACTTGCTACACAGCTTTATTCTTGTTGATTCGTATAGCAATAAATTTGAGGAAATATCTTTTATTCCCTATATCTTAGGAAATATCTTTAGAAATATCTTAGGAAATATCTTTAGAATTTCAAAATAACTCTCTTTTCTGTTAATTATTCATTGTAACTAGATGAAAACATCACATAGAGGAAGTTCTAGGGATAATGATGAAATCAATTCAAATTTATCTCCGGCACAACTTCACGATTCGCTGGGTTCGGAAGAGCCGCAAAATGATGCTGTTTCCTTTATTCATAATTCATTCATTAGTAGGAAAACATTCAGTTGTCCAAAAATCAAAAATGATTTCGTGACTGGTACAGATACGGGTGATTTGAGTCCGGAGGATATCGGAATCATTGCTGCAATGGGTGATTCCCTTGCCGTATGCTTCTTCTCCTGTTGTAATTAGTTATTTACTGCCAGTAGTTTTAAAATTTTCCTAAAATCGATATTTGGAGAAGAGAGTTAATAAATTTTTTCAATAAAAAATCAATCAAATAACATTGAGTAGATTTCCATTCGTTAGAATTTAATTTTTTTTATCGAAATATATCTAAATCGGTCATCCGGAATCGGGAGATCGGTTTGAGATTTTTCTTTCTAGCTAGTTTGCTTCTTTAAAAAACAAAATTAACATATGGTACAACTAACATAAAGTGAATTTAGCTGGCTGTAAAAAGAAGCAGTTAAATTTAACGACCATAGACGATTGGTTTATTAGGAAATGCTTCTTTTTTTTTTTTTTTTTTTTAGACTGGAACAGGATTATGGCCTCAAACGGATATCGAATTTCGTGGGGCTGCATTTCCAATAGGTGGTGATGCAACCATTGATGGACTTGTTACTATTGCTAGTATGTCACAATTACGTATTCATTTATTTACTTTTCAGTTTTTACTTATATATAATTAACCACCGAACTTAATTTCATTTCTTTTATATTTAAGGTACAGTTATCATTGCAATCAATTTCGAATATTCCAGATATACTTCGCGAATTTAACGATAAATTGATTGGTGTATCACACGGAATGGGTACAAGATTTCAGTTACCTTATCACCAATTAAATGTTGCGGAAAGTGGTGCTACTACGTCCAGTATGCCTTTACAGGTTGGTTATTACTTTGATACATTGCAACTGGATTGTATAAATATGATTATCAATATTATCCGAATTGCTACAATTATTCTATGAAACAAGAATTCTGTTTTAGGCAAAAGAGTTAGTCAAAAGGCTCAAAGCATTACGCGAAGTGGATGTCAACAATGAATGGACATTGGTTATTATTACTATTGGTACTGAAGAGGTAGAAATCCCTTCTAAATATCTGTTACTGTCCAAAAATTAACTGATTAAATTGACAACACCTACCCTTTTTTTTTCTCTCTCTCTCTCTTATATATATTAGGAATTTAAATTAGGTATGAACAGAACCGCTGAGTTTTGTACAAGAAACTTCTCGATTTACTTGCAGCAACTAATCAATATTTCGAAATAAGCTTACCATTAATTTATTTTTGTCAGTTAATCTCTTTTCTTGCAGATTTGTAAAGTTTGTCAGGCTCCTGATTACAATGCTCTCTTAGAATCATTGCTGATCTTGAATCAAGGCATCCAAAATGCGCTTGTGGTACTTCTTGGACCTATCCACGTCTCATCCTCATATCATCGAGAAGCTAACTTACTTAAGTAAATTTGTTCAAGTTTTTAATCATTTTGATGATAGATATTTTATGTTAATGTGATTTAGAGTTAATATTGACAGTTCTAGATCTCGTTGTACTTGTTTCAAAGAGAAATCGGATGAGGTCATGAAAGAATTAAATAAGCAGTGGACTGAGGCATTTCTTCGGCTGCAGGCCCATTTTGAACAACCATATATCAAGGTGATAACAATTATTTAGTGATAAGCGATAAATTGAAGGAGCAAGTGGTCTGTTTTTTTTTTTTTTTTTTGAAAGATCTTAGTCAGATCCGTATAATGCTCGGTACTCGAATTATATCCCAAATATAAGTATGGAAAAAAACCACTGCTCAAAACTTATTTTAGGTTGGGTTTTAGTTTAAATGTTTTCAAATGGATATGAATAAAATTTAATGTTTTAATCTAATCTTATTTTCAGCGACAAAAATTTGGACTTCTGACATTGCCAATGCTAACGGTTACATCTCGTTATCCATCTTCATTGTTTATTCCAAATCGTCCACTTTTGAGTCGTAAAGGACATACTTATGCTACCAAATGGTTATGGAATCGGTTGATGACTGGACCTACCTACAATCTTTCATTAGCTGTACTTTCTGAGGACTCATACTACTGTCCATCGATGGTAATTTCCTTTTCTCGAATTTTTCAAAAGGGAAAGAAATTAATGTGCAAAAATCTGGAACTGAAATAAAGCAGATGGAAATTAGCGAACTAAAAAATAATAATAATAAATGATGGAAATAGAGAGTATCAGATTATATTATCAGATGATAAATGGCAAAACAGTGTTTATTAGTGTACATTTTTACAAACAGTGTTGTTGGTCATGATCTTAAATAAGTTTTAATAAATCTCTGAAACTGTCATAATATTGGGACTTTCAGGGATGTCCGTATTTTCGAACACCAGCAAATCGACAGTATTGTCGACTACTTCGTCATGTCGATGTCAAAAATCAAGACGAAGAAACTGCATTAGGAATTGATAGACCGATGAGGAGGTCAAGAGAAAAACTGTATACAACAGCTGGTGCTGTTGTGCTCATTTCTTTTCTCACCGTATTGCTCATTGGTACTTTACTTTACCAAAAGAGTAAATATGTAAGTTTCTTAGTTTTGAAATTTATTTGCTTATTAATATTTGATAAAATAGAAAAATAAAGAGCCACATGGCTAATGAGGAACAAGAGGTATGGAATAGAATTATGAGAAAATAGAAAAGTGTTGGAGATAAACATTAAAGGAATCTTTAAAGAAGATTAAAGGAAATCTTTAAAAAAAAAAGGTTTCACGTAGAGAAAATAGCGGAAAAACAATAATTTTCCATGGAAGTTTCGAAGATAATAATATTACATAAAAAGTTAGTGTAATATTATTATTATTATTTAAGTCAATATTATCTTTGACTTAAATAGTTAACAGTAGTATTTCTCGAGATTCAAAAACTATTTGGTAGTGGGAATGTTTTAGTTCCCAAATTTTCACAGCAGAAGCATAAGACATGACAGAAGTATTTCTTATCAAAGTTTTCAATTTCTTCAACAAATTTATTGAAATTTTCAATATTTCCCAGGAAAAACGCATTAGGTACAGGAAAAGTTTATACGAAGACAAGGAAGGAGTGTTCGATTCACTAACATCCAGGAACTGAATGGTAAATTCAACTTAAAAAGTGAGGAATGAAACATTCTACGGTAAATGCTGCTTTAATTGTGATTTACTTGTGCTATTGTTTTAAATAAAAATTGTACAGAAATTTTGTTTTTGATAATTATAAATAATTCTTCATAAGAAATAATAACTTTCATCAGTATCCTCGAATTGTGTACATCGTTCCTCAGTTAAAGGAACAGTTCTTCATAAAACACTAATTAACATTGCACCTAGTAAAAGTTTCTCAAAATTCTGATACAATTCATCCAGTCATTATTATTTGGTAGAGTATTTTAGGTATTCTCGTACTGAGCTTCGAAGAAACTAACAATATTAACATTGCATTATATGGTGCCATAAGAAACTTAGAGATAAAATTAAAGTTACTTTTGTGATTACAAATATTTAAAATGGAAAGATAAAATTAGCCTATAAAAAGGGCGAAGAACTTTGGTAAGTGAAAATAAATGACCTTAATTTTTTTTTTTTCGAATGATCTATCAAAATTCCGGCTGAAATGAACCAAAAAAAATACATTCATGAGAGAAATGACCAAAAATAGCACACAGTTGCTGTATCTGTTTGGAAAAATGTGAAAATTACTGAATAGCTCTGAGTTTTATTACTATATTAAATCTAGATCCAAGGAAGAGGTCCATGTTTCCGTTATAAAATATGAATAAAAATGTCTACTTCAGTGATAAAATTTTTACTTCTTAAATAGCACTTTATGATTACTGCGAGGATGCCATGAGCCAAGTAAGAAGTTCACTAATTAGAAATGTCGATTGATCTCATGTGAATGCTGTCGTAGAAATTAACAGAAGAGAAGTAGAAGAACAAAGAAGATGAAATACATATAATTACAGGTGTAAAAGAAACATTCTTAGTCGCTGAATGAATTATATTGTTGGTACTTTCTCATTCACACACTTCTTTAATATTACATATTTAATATTGTTACAATCGTAATTTTACAAGTAATTCTATGTAAATTCAATTACAAATCCACAATAGTTTAGGATTGACTATCTAACTACTAAAAGGAAATATACAAACTCTTTTAGCTTAATTAGTTTAATTGCTTCACACACAAATCCCATTGGGATATCATGTTACAACATTTTAAATTGAACAGTTCAATCTATGCAATTTCAAATCTCCCTGGATTTCATTCTCATATTGCATAAACAATGAGAATTTTTCAAAATGCTCTTTATATTTTCACATTTATTTGAAATCTTTAGCAGTATTTAGCTCTCTCAAAATAGAATTCATGTAATTTAGCTAGTGGATATTCTTATAAATTTCTGTAGCTAAATCCCAAGTGGGCTTATTTAATCAAATAAAAGAAGTACGTTCTCTTCAAAAGTCTATTTATATCGATTCTTGACAAGAATACACAAATTGAGCTCAATTTTTTAATTTCAGATATGCATGTACAAACATAATTTGTTACAGTAAAATCAATAAAAACATAAGTCCGACCATATCATGTATATTTAGGTGAGAGATCCAAAGTCCTTGTGATTTCGAGGAAAATCAAAGATGCAGAAAAAGTACACATTTAACAAATAATTAAATACTAAAGTAGAATTAACCAATCAATCATGTTATGTAGACATCCAAAATTGGTTATACTTTAAATTCCAAACCAAAGTTCTTGTGATTTCCAGGAAAATCAAAGATGCGGAAAAGTACACATTTAACAAAAAATTAAATACTAGAGTAGAATTAACCAATCAATCATGTTATGTAGGCATCTAAAATTGATTATACTTTGAATTCCAAATCTTTTTCACTAATAACATGAAGGAAAGTTAGAGTTAACTTATTATGGCTGATTATGGCTTATTATGGCTCACGGTTGATTGTCTAACTATCGATAATTAATCATGGAACTCTCAAAAACAATTGAAAAAGAAATGAAACCAATAAGAAAAATCATTAAAACAAGGTAGAAACAAAAAAAAAAAAAAAAAACTATTCAAGAACTTTCAAAACTACGAACTTATATAAATGCTGTCCAATCAATCATTATCTTCTTCATCGTTAAACGACAATAATCTTGAATTCGACGCGGCTACCTCCTTTATTTCCTCCGTATATTTTCGTTTTCCCGCTGTTTCTTCCTCAGAGTGTTGTTCTTTCCGTTTCACTGGTTTTTTGAAAACTATTTTCCCTTCTTCAATTTTTCGTCCTGTAAAAATATATTCATTTAAATTTTAAAAGAAGCCTTCCGCAGACATTCATATCTATCAAACATTTCATTTCCTTTTCATTCTAAATAAGTTTTAAATTGTAATATACCTAACTAAGCTTCAAATTATAATAATGCACTTCGCAGTACGGTAAATTTGAAAAATGCATTTTTCCCAAACATTACAAGAAATTTCCTCAGTTTAATCCAAAACTAGTCCCACAACATAAAAATGCGAGAGAAATCTTCAAAATAACTTACGATCTTCTTCAGCACGTTTCTTCTCTAATTCAGCTTCTAATTCCTTCTCATTCAAATCACTTTGAGCATTCAAAATAACGACCTAAATGATAACGTTCAAGAAAATTCCACTATAACCTAAATGATTAAGAAGAATATTCGAAGATAAGCAAGTGTTACCTGAGGTCTGTCCTCTTGATTAATTCGTGATAAGTCATCATCTTCTAGATCATTTTCAATATATCCTTCACCCGCTGTCTCAGAGAACTATAAAAATGATACGAAAATTCTTAAAGTTTTTTCTCATGAAATTTCAATATTATTTTAAAAATCCATTGAGCATCTAGTCAGCAATTAAAGAACATTAAAAATAAACTTCATATTTGATTTACAACCTTTGTATATGGTTTTGTAATTTAACCTGGCCAATTAACAATATGATTTAGAACTTATTTACTAAAAAATGAAAAAATAACTTCCAATCGCTCACAAATGTCTGTTATCACATGATGTATATTTACTACATATTTGTCATTATGCGAATACATAATCATTTGTTGCATAAATAAATAATACATCTTATTTCACTATTTTTCTTTTCTAAACTCGTATAAAAATTTTACTTTCAACTCAAATATTTTTTGGCTTATAAAAATAACTTATAAAACAAGAAATTAACTAGTCACAATTAATTAATTAATTCAAAATCAATGCAAAAAGAAAAAAAAAACCTTATTTTCAATTGTTGGCGGTGGTTTGTAGCCTAATTTCTCCTTAATTTTTTGTATAAATGGTGGATCTGTTTGTAAAATAGCTGTTATCGATGAACGCTCCTTGTATGTTAATTTTCTTTCTGACATCTTTTACACAATGCTAAAAAAGTTTTGTTCAGCAAATAAATGTAACAAAATGAAATAATCAAATAATACATATCTTTTTGGTATAGGTAAATAGGTATAGGTAAATATTCACTATTTTAATATCTATTCTATTCCATTCCATTAACTTTCACATAATTTCCAACTCACAACGAACATTTAACCACTCCAATGGTTCCGTATGAGAAGAATTTTGCAAATGCAAATCGATGAGATAGTTCGAACGATTCGAATCGTTTTTATAGTGTACTCTCGAGAATCAATCATTAAGGTAGTTTTACTTACTTATTAAGGTAATTTTACCTACTTATTTACTTACTTGTATATTTAATTATTGGCAATAGTTCAAGTAGTATCACATGTTTCTCGAGAGTACACTATGAAAAAAATTTTAGTAGAATCAGAATGATAATTCATTTTTTACGTATTAAATTTGAAGGCATATATAGAATTAGAAAAGCTGTTTCATTTCTGAAATGTTTAATACATCTCTAAATTTTTTATTTTCTAAGATGACCTAAACCATAATATGTTGAACTATATTACTCTTACATCAAAAAAAAGTGTTGAACTGTTACAAGTTTTTTATCTTCACAAATATGCATTTGCTTTAGATTTCCAACTGTATGACAAATTTAACAGAATCAGAATTCACAATTGTTCTTACGGGATTTGGTCCATTTGGATTCTTTGACAATAATCCCAGTGAAAAAGTGGTACAACGAATTGCCAACGAAGGTACAGCTTTTTTTTTTTTTTTGACTAGATTGAATTAAACTCATAATACTTCTTCTTGGTATAGATGTACAGGTGATATTGGTCAAATGCCTCCACTCCAGTAGTTATGATAAGAAATTACATTATGAATTTGCATAGTCAAATTTAACTTAAGGTATCGATGATATTCAACCAAATGCTAGGATTATTGTAAAAGTGATGCCAGTAGCATATGATGATGTGCAGTGTATAGTGTCTGAGCTCTGGAAGGAATATCATCCTGATGTAAGTTTCATTCATTGATATATTTGCTATATTTCAGAGTCTGAGCTCTAGAAGGACTATCATCATGATGTAAGTTTCATTCATTGATCTATTTAACCATATTTTAGACTATTAACCGTGAAATGCTAAAAACCTTTAGTATTACTGTTGCACTAGGATATTATTACATTTTCTCACTTTAATTTTCTCACATATGTTTATGTAAATAGTATATTATGCTACAGGCATAGAAATATGTCTGACTTTGAGATTGTTCATAACATTCAGGGCTTCTATTTTTTACTGGTTCAAGAAGTGCAAGTTTACATTTCTACACTTTTTCATAAATAATCATCGTAGTCTCAACATTAGCGATGATATAGATAACTAGAGCTTATCAGTTACATATTAGTGACATATCAAATCGTTTTGCAGCTTGTTGTACATTTGGGTGTTCATTCCACTAGTCGTGCCGTTAGGATAGAAACAAGAAGCTGTGGAATTGGCTATGATCAAGGCGACATTAAATGTAATTTTTTGGCTGTTTTGATATTGTTTGCATATTGAATGATCAATAAGTTGAATTCTTTCAAATTTTTATAATCTCAACTGTTGTTCATATTATCATTCCATTTTTTTCATAATGGTCAAATTTCAGCAAAAACACCCGAAGACTACAGATGTCCACTGGCTATTTGTTCTTCTAATGAAGAGGAAAACATCATATACACTGGATTAAATTGCACGAAACTTGTAGAAGCAATGAGGATGGAATTTGCCAAAGAAAATATACAGTTTGAGTTGTCTGATGATCCGGGAAGGTTAGAACTGTGCTGCTATGTTTTTCCCATTTTAACTTTTGATTTCTTCATAATTCACAAAAAATTATAGTTTTTTCACAAGCTACCATATTCTTTCTGGTGGTACGTAATCTAAGATAGTGACTCATTTATGATAACTTCACTCACCTAATGAAAACGACATTTGACAAGGTGTCACTTTGTCTTGGATGCGTAAGGGAACTTAAGTCCATCCCATTAGTTTCTCCCAATGATTAGTCTGCTGATAATTTGAACTTCATAAATGTTTAGTCTTAATATAAAAATAGTTCTGATATAAACGAAACCTAACACGAAATGATTCTCAGGTATCTATGTGCGTATTCCTACTATATCTCACTTCGACATGACAAGAACTGTTCACTGTTTATACACATTCCATCTTTCAATAAGAGCTGTACTCTGGAACTTCTTACAAAAATTGTCAAACAAATCATCCGATTATCAGTATTGCAAATTCTGAAAGCACGCAAGAAAAAACCCGAAAGCCTTTGCAAGAGCATGCAGAAATAGCTACAATTTATGACGAATAGCTTGTAGGGAGGGACAGTTCTTATTTTTATTTTTTTTTTCTATGCTTCAAACTCCTCGTTCCATTTCTGGTATTTTTAATACGTGTAGATTTATTTATTTTGAATTATTTTCTGGTATTTTATTATAGCTTTTATTTGAATTGCATAAATTTGATTTTCATGTGAAATAAAACGTTTGATTCCCAGTCATATGAACTGCAATTGCTTGACTTAACCGCCTATCTTCATTTTTTCCGAGACCATGACAAGATACAATTTTCCTAACTCAGCTTTTTTTGTGTTTTATTGTAGCTTTTTGCTATTAAGATATTAAAATTTATAGTACAGCATCTTCAATATTTCGAACTGAAATGTCTTTTCCTGCTATTTGCTATTCTTTTATTGAGAGTCTACAAAAAAATGTAAGGTAATTTTCAGTTAAAGAAAACACAAACAAAAAAAAATCGGATCTATTCTTCTAAAAAATGTTATAAAAACCTGTGTACAAAAAATAACATTTCTAGCCATTTATCACTACTAGTTTAAAGCATTTGATATAATATCATATATAATTAATATGTAATTAAAGAAAGTTTCTGCTTTATTACTCTGGCTTAATTTGAAAACTTGTAAAGTAATTTGAATATCATAGAAATTTATCATTGAAGATAGCATTAATGATTCAGCATATTCTTCATGCTTACTAAAGTATTCTCTTCTTTCAAAAATAGAAAAGCATAAAGCAGAATGCATGTACTGGCATGGAGTCAACTAATCATGTAAATTTTGAACAGTTCGAAGTTCCAAGATTTTTTAATTGTAACCATAAAGTTGTACCCATTTAGCATTCAAAAACTACTCGTTCTATTTTATCCTACTTGTACTACAATGGACTGAAGTGTTTTTTTTTTTTTTTTCAAAATATATAAAGCACAAAATATATGAATAAGATGAAATCGAATAGGCTCAGAGATGATAGTACGAAAAATTTATGACTGAAAGTTTCCCACTATTATTATTATTGCAAATCTCCATTTCTTCAAAATCAAACCTTGGAACTTCATGACTACTTCGCTGCATTTTACATAAAGTTCAATTAAAAAGTGAGAAAAGACCTATAAATTCTAGCGATAATCGGTAGGACAGACAAAACAAATGGTTAAACAACGAAAATCATCGGTAATTTAAATACTTCACAACATTCAGTTTTACGTTACACCAGCCAGTAAGGGATACATACTCTTGATTCGCTGGCTGTTTAAATTCCTTATTACCTATAGGATCAATGATAATCCATTATCAGAGTAAATCAAGTACTTATAAAAATCAGTAAGTCACTTATATCAGTTTACGAGGTTGTAGTGGCAACGGTGGAATCCCAACTTTCCTGTACCAAATATGATAGGTAAAATACCAGCAAAGCACGGCGATTATTGCACCCATCATTTTGTGATAAATGTGATGATAGTAAAGGACCGAAATCAACAGTTCAAAATCCTGCAAAGAAAATAAGTTGTTTAAAAGAATGTTTAAATTAATTTAGAATGAATTTTAGCTGAGTTCAAGAAATGCACATATCACAGAAATGATCTTAAAAATTGACAGCAAAGATGGTTATAAGCAGAAAGTTTGTTTATTCGCAAATTTTTCGGTCAAAAAAAGATTCATCGTAAGTCGACAGAAGCGTTTATTAACAATTATGCATTCTTAATAAAATTTGTTTTACGTCTAAAGGATTCCATTACAAATCACTGAAGAACTATTTTACTGATCAGATATTTTTCGAATTTCTTCCCGAAAACCAGAAACAAAAAAGTAACTCTTGGTGTTTTATTGCTAAAAATGATATATCATTACCCAAAGTAGGTGAAGAACACACATAGAAAGGAAAAAAATTCTGATAAGATTTCCATTTTTAACCGATGGCATCTTTCGAGTACGATGAATTATTGTTATGTTGCGGAATGCTAATGCCTGAAAATTGAAACATTAAATCAAAGTTGATAAAAAAATATAACCAAACTGAAAATAAGATAATTAGAAATTCTAGAAATTCCTGCAAATCTTTTGACAGTAACAAATAACTTACTTCTTCACATATGATAAGAGAACTGTAGATAAGGATAAAGCAATGACCACTGATATCGAAGCCAGGGATCCACTTGCCACCATCAACAGCACATGATGAACGAGAACTTAGCTTAGATCCATGGCAGTGACCTGTCATCTGTTCAAATACCACAAATCTGAAACATATGCCAAGCTGGTCGCATAAAATAAACGTTACTACTGATCTCTAAATATCGTTTAGATCCTCATATTACTAATATAATAAATGGAAAATGTAGTATAATATGTAAGTTTCAGTGATAAAGTTAAAGATAAAAAGTGAGAAGTGTAAGAAAAAAAAACTCAAAATGTAAAGTACTAAAATCTTACGAATGAGTGCAATAGTACCATATTGTTGTTGCGATTACCATACGGCTTAAATTTTTTATAATTCCTGAAATTCATGAATTCCTCCAATAGAAACATTAAAATTATATGAAAATCAAAATCATCACTTAAACGAATAATTCCAAGAGATAAGAAATACATAGAAAATTTGAAACTTCAATTTAATATAATTTGCATCTTTTAACAGAAAAATGAAAAGTGCTTAAATTAACTGAAAATGAAGAAAAAGAAAATAACAGCTAAAGGACATACCTGACATGCTTTGCCCAACAGCAGTAGAAATATACCAAATAAATGGACAGACAACGACACATGTCCAGAACCAACCCAATTTAACAAAATAACTATTCAAAATATTATTCTTCTATAAATATTCGATATTAAACCTTAGAAGAATAAATCTATTATTAAACGGGCAAATTTGTTATTGAGAAAAAGCAAAAATTCATCTAGCAAAAAAAAAAGAAAAAGAAACCTTTACAAAATAATAGTGATTTGGTAAAGGCACAAAAGCAGCGAAAAGTGATAATACAAAAACTGCCAGAAGATGGAATATAGCTTTTCGATCTGTCCTTAAGTAGAGATATTTACGGGCAAAATGTATCGATATGCCACATAGCGCATCACATGCTTCAGCAATATTTGAATGACGCTGCACAGATTGTCTATATTTAGTTCTATCCATCATTGAACATTTGCCTTTGTGTGAGGTAAAAGGAGATTAAAAATCTGTTAGTAGCTGAAAAAATCTACAGTAAGCTTAAAATGTCGGCATCTTTTTTTAATAGTTGTTTAAAACTTTTACAAGTTACATATGACTTCACAAAAAATATAATGCACAGCTCTCGAATAGAGGCTGTACATTGTCAATGCTTTAACTGATGTAATTTAAAAGAAAAAAAAAAAAATACTATCCAAGCTACTGGAAAAAAAGAAAAAAATATTGAGCTTTAAAAGTAAATGGAAAAAATCCGGTATGTATTTCCATAAATCGTTAAAGCTGCCTCACTAATTTTTGCGCTAGTACAATTTTTCTCCTTACGACCGACAAGATTCTTTCAAATCAAAATTATCGGACCAATTCATTCAGAAATCTAGTTTTTTCAAGAAACTTTAAAAGTTTGAAGATCAGTGATATTGTTCACTCCAAGTGCTACAGTAGATTATCTAATTTCACTCAGTCTTTCCATCTTATCATCTTTCATTTCACAAATGTACCAAGGTATCGTTCCGATGATCTTCCAGTTCTTATGAAGGAAGTCTAATTCCAATTGTTATAAGTTCATAATTAATCATTTCAAAAATTAAGAGTATTAAGTAAAAACAGAAAATGTATTATATTAAAAAAATCTTCTTTACCTAATGAAAAAAATGATACTTTCTGGAAAAGTATCCATGAGAGCCCCTTACACGATCACTACCTTCCAAAATCGGATACAGAATAATTTAATAAGCACCAATAATAGAAAATCCGTACGCAATTTAACAACATGACAAGCTGACAATAATACAAGCAACCCTGGAAATTATATATGCAGTAACAAGTATTAAAATTATTATCCTACTATTATAAAACAACAATGAGCATGTAATAATTTACGATTGATATAAAACAAATAAATGGTGCTCGCTAGATCAACATGCTAAAAAAAGAGGTGATAAAATGTCTAAATATCATCCAACTATTTGAATATCCTGCACAACTAGTTCAAATTTGTCTTATTGAAAGATATGGACATACTTCTAAAGGTTAAGAAAAAATCAATTTAAATTCTAGAACAAGCAATAATGTCTACTGTCACCCATCGAACAGTTATATTTATCAAAATAAATCATCATCAATATCATCATCTACACGACTTCTATTCAACATCCACTTTCCAAACCATTTACTCCGAATATGATGCTCTTTCATAAATCTGTACAATTCGCTTTCTCTTTCTTTCTTCAATTCGATTTCAATGTTATTCTTAACACATTGATATATCTCATCGGTTGATAAATCGTAAAACAGAGAAGCACTAAAAATTGCCAACGACGACAACACCCTGCAAACTATTCTATTTCTTTATGTTTTATGTTTGGTGAGTATTCAATGGCCAAGAAGTATGCATTTCACATGCATTGTGCTAATGTTTGAAAAAGAATGAATTAGTCAAAAAATTAGGAGCATCCTTAAAAAAATGGAAGGATCAGAGATAGGATCTAAGCCATTTGAAAGCACAAATACATTCATATTATCACTGATCAAATCCACATCAACAAATAAGGATAATAATTACAATTAAGTCTAGAAATTATCTAATGTGCGCTCTCTGCAAAGAAAAATTCATATCTTGAGCAAAAATTTTAAATAATATGAGAAAGGTCCTCTTCTAAATAACTAAATATATATGACAACAGTACAGTATATTTCAGTAAAATTTTCTTTTCATTATCTAATGTCCCATATGCAAAGAAAAAATTGATTTCACTATCAACAAAATTTAAGCTGATTAAAATACTAAGTTCTAATGGATCATGCGATAATCACATACATTGATTATGAGGGTTCATGCAATAGCGGATTAATATTAGAATAACAGAAGTCTGATAAAATTTATAGAATTTACTAAAGTTCACTATATGTTATTGCATGCATAATACACTTTCAAATCAGAATATGCTATTCTAGACATGAGTGATACTTAAAAAACTACTAAAAAAACCTACCCTAACATTAGTCCACTTTGTATCGCTTGTAGGGGTTTCACACTCAATGAATAACTGAGAATAGCTGGAATAACAGCTGAAAGTTTGAATTAGCTCAATGAAGGAACAGAAATATGCAAACAGGTAAATCATACTGAAATCTGTACAACTTTTCATAAAATTTAATCATTTCGATAGTGCCATCTTTGGGGCTGATAAGTAATTTCTAGTATCTATCCCAAGACAAACTCCAATATCGAACTGTGCTGAACTTCAATAAAGTTATTCATTTCTCACAGTAGTATTTGTGCTATTTATAGTAGCATTTGCTAACTTGTTTCAAAATTTGTTTGAAAACACTTACTCGTAGCACATGGAACAGTCCAAATTGAAAAATACTCACGCCATCTTGCAAATTCTGTTATAGAAATCCTGCAAATTAATTCTCTAGCTCATACAACTGCAATCTGCTACACTTTGAAACTACTTCTAATTCCTTACAGTACATCCACAAAGCATTCAATTTTAATACATTATGAATCCAATGTTGACGGCCATAGCAGCGCCGCTAAAAATGCTTTTCGTTAAACACTTCCTCAATCCATTACTGATGTTACTATCCTGAAAATTTAACTTTCTTTCCATTCAGTAAACCTTAATTCAATTCAATTCACTTTGGAATCTTTCTTCGATTTTTGTAGAATTATAATTGTGCACCAAAAACAATTAGAATGCAGTGAAATTCGATAGATGCAATCAAATGAAGTAAAGCTAACAACAAAAACTATTTGACTCGTTTTTTGGCTTAAATTATTCATGTTTCTAGAGGAAAAGTGCTGAAGGTAAAAGAGTAACAAAATCGAATTTACAGGAAAACTTCTCATGTTTTGTTGATTAGCTTTTGCTAAAATTGCTCCCGTGATTACACTAAGTACAGTTTGACCAAAAAATGCTCCTTTCATGCTCTTTAACGTTATCCACTTCTCGAAATTAATATCTGCAAAAGAGTTGTAAATAAACGAACTCACCAGAAAAAAATGCTGATAAACTGGAAAATTAATTAATAAGTATATATGAGTATTCACCATAATTAAGGCCTTCCTACTCATTTAAAAAGTAGCTCCTAAAAAGTATTTTGAGAAAAAGTCCATGTTAGCTCAGTCTGGAATGACAAAATGACAAATCTCATGTATTCTTTTACTGCTGTACTATTCAAATTTACTAATCAGTTAACTACGATTTAAAAAAAAAAAAAGTACTTTCATCGGTGCAAAATTCTTTCAATCTTTTGAACATATAAGATGAGGAAAACGTGCTCTCATCATCATTTTGTCCACTTGCTGCCACATTAACACAAGCAGAATTACTGTCGTTTACATCATCTACAATGTATTTGCATAAAATTTCACATTTTAAAACCTCATTCTTTTCACAGTTACGTGAAATTCATTTTATGACTTGAGTGCATCATTCTAATCCTATTTTCATTTCATTTTCTGGAAGAATTTGAGAGCAACTGTTGTTCAAAGAATTTTCAAAAAATAAATCAAGCGCATACGGAGTTGATTCTTAATATAAACAAACAAAAATTAAACTAACTACTAGCTGATTTTAAATAATCCAACCATTTTCTCATATATAATGGACGAAATATAACTGTTGCCAGCAAGCTGTTTCTATTTTCATCACCAAACATAACAGATTAGCCTGTATACTAAATAAAATAATTTAAGCGATGCTTCATTTAGAAGATAATAGCACTGATTAATTCACAAATACATAAGTACCTAGTAGAAATTTAGTAACAAAATTATTAGTGATAAAACAAATTTTAATTAAATAAATAATAAACTTATACATAACAAGCATGTAGCATATTCTATCTATAAAGCAATTTTTGGGATGAAAGTTAAATTTCCCACTTTAAAAAAAATAATAATAATAATAAATTGCTTGAATTCGATAAATGATAAAAATTTATGAGTGAAATTGCTAGAACATCGATGTTATTATAATAGAATTTTCATACTATATTTATCATAATTTTAGAATTACTTTTGATAATATGCGCATTGAAGAAAACAACATAAAGTTCAAATTAAGTTCAAATCAGACAGATATCAAGAAATGAGAGATTCAGTATGACGGAGAGTTTATTGTCACGAGACGTACTAACCAACCACTTTCCACGGGCCGTTAAAGCCGGGCTTTTCTACCGGAACGCTCTTACGGACGTTTGTTTCATTGAGCTGATTTAGTAGGATAGGGTCAGCTGGTTGTGCTAAAATAAACTTTGTTTACATCAATAAGTTAATGATCTTACTGCATGGAAGAAGTTTTTCTCTTCAATGATAAATTCATTTTATGCATTAATTTTAAAACTTTTCAACTGTCATATCAATTGTTAGTTATTATCTGTTATTTGCTCAGTAATAAAATTGTGCTAATTTAAAATAAACATTGCCATAACTAAGCTAATGATAAATACAAAAATTGGGGAATATTTTATATTTTAGCTGAAATAATATTGATGAAATTTCCAGTAAAAGGAATCATTTCAGATGTGGAAAAACGATGAAAATTGAGTGCAGGAGCAAACAATATCTTCTGCTAGAAATTATTTCGCCAAATAAGCATTATGGTAGCGAAACGGTTAAAATTTCTATTTCATTTCTGTGTTTGAAATTTTTTGAGTGAATAATCTCGTGTGAACTTGCATGCAGTTTTTTTTTTTTTTTTTTGTGTGTTTGTGTTTGTATTTGTTACAGGTCGAAAGTAGTTGCTGTCTTTGTAGTGATAATTTAGTTACTTATAGTTTCGTGGATTGATGATCAACTAGTTAAAAGAATTCTTGTTCATATTGAAGTATCTCTCTTTGTGTCGAATGAATTGTGTTGAATCCTAAAAAGTGTGAAGGTTAGGATGAATAGCTAGACAAATAAAATCAGTCATCTCGCACCGACAAAGCGTGGAAAACGTGTAACTTCAAATTTCTCGTTTCATATAATGTTGTAGGGTTGAATATAATTTCATTTTCAGGTTTTTCTCGGTTTTTCATTGGCTTTCTAAACTGTATTGTTCAATTTTTCAAAGGGAATCTTTCAAGGTATTCCTGCTTTTCAAGATCATTCAAAAATTGGTATCCGTTAAGATCTTGTTTTCTCTCAATCCTAATAGTTGTGTAAAAGTAATAGAAATTTTCACTTCTATTAATTGAAAGTTTTTCCTAATTTATATTCTGCTTCAAGTTTATATCCTCACAATTTTTTTCAAAGTGATTTCTTCGAACTTGGTATATTATTTTGGGAAAATTCTAGCAGTATGTTTTCTTTTTATTTTTTACAGAGATTGGAGTCGGAAAATTGCGTTGGAAAATTAGGAAGAACTAGTGAGGCATTGATTCAACGTAAACTTGAAGAACCTGGGAATATTTGCTGCAGTAGTACTCAGAACAGAACAATACATCTCAAAAAGTTTGAGGAAAAGATGAATTCGCATTTATCAGTAGTTGTGAATAATTTATCAAATAACATAATGCTTAGCGTTAGTTTCAAGTTTATTTTTTATCGAAGCATAAAGTAAAACTTTCCATATATACTGGTGCTTATTATATCATTTCGGCATAATTCTGACTAAAAGTTATTTGTACACAACTTGCTTTAGCTGTTTAGTAATCATATGAATGGAGTGATATAATTGTGCTCGAACTGCCTTTTGACCTCCGGTTATTTATAAGACGAGATAGCTGTATTGATTTAAGAAAGTGTTGTCTAGTTTTCTAATTTGCATGTCTGATTTTTTGTTTTTAGAGTCACGTGCGCAAGCCCTTAATCAAATTCGTTGGTGCTCGACTTCCACGACCTCACTATGATCGGTATATATTTTATTATTCGTATTCTGAAGCGGCAAAATTCCATCGATTAGTCAGAAGTATTAAAATTATCCAAGGTTTTCCATATAGAGTTGTAGCAATTTCTCTGTCACTTTTTTAGGTCAACCTTATCACCAGTGATACGTGAATCAGAATCTTCATCAGTATCTGGTTGGTCCTTTATGTTAATAATACCCTAGTTCTTATTCTGATTTGATCCATGCAATATTTTCAGAATATTTCAGAAACTTCCGTCGTATTCAACTGAACTGGTGTGAGTTAAAATAAGTTATTTAATTTAGCTTAATCAATTGAACTGAGATTTTGTATTAAAATTAATCTTCTAGTAATCATTTGAGATGATTTTTCTTTCGAAGAAATTTGATTTGCAGAAAAGTTGCTTTCTTCATCGAATGTATCACCATCGGCAGTAAAAACTAACATTCAACGAGGCGAATTAATTGAAGATTGGCAGCTACCTTCATTTCTTCGTCGTAAGCAAATATCCGAGGAAGAATGTCATGTTATCAATGTAAGTCCATAATTTTTATGAATTTCAATAACTTATTTATTTTTTTTTAACGTGATGCAAGTTTTCTTTAGCATTAGGGGGAAATATTATCTGTAATTGAGTTTTGAACTTTGACAAACCATCTTCAGTCATACTTATTTTAGATGTAATTCTATTTCTTAGATAACCCATTAGTAGCTGCTTCATTTTATTCAACTTTCCAACTGATTATATCGATCAGAATCCCTATGTTTATGTCTATGAGCGTTCGTAGCTCTGTCGATCCATATTTTTATTGTTATAGACAATTGTATGTAGGTATGTGAATGTGTTAGTTTATACATGTATATATCTTGTTGTCATGGTAACTTTGCATTAAATTATTTATGTTTAGAATGGTGGTGCGTATGGACTGGATAATTCTTCCTGAGAAAACTACTAGACGAGTTCATATCTGATACGTTCTATTTCTTATTATAGGAGCGCGCCTTATACGTCACCTCATACAGAAATAAGTGCTCAGATTTCTTCAACAAATTAACTAGCAATCAATCGACGTGTTATTTTTAGTAACGTTTTGCTCAACAGATTGTTTTTAATGATATTGACTAGCTTTACAGTAAAGATTAGCGGGTAGTCAAAAACTTGTTATATTATTGACTTTTTTATTTATTCATATTTTAAAGAATTTTTTTGTGATAATATGTGTAATAATAATTATTTGCTAGACAAGTATTGAATTATGATATTTTTGTAATTTTAAGGTATTTTTTTTTTCTTCTGTGCTGTTGTAAATTTAGCTTTCAGTATCATGTGCATGTATATTTATTTCTTGAGTAGTAAATGTGTTAGGATTGATTTATTTAGGAAATGTAGTGAAATTGATATTTATGAGGATTTGCCATGTACTGATTTTTTTCTTTGCTCACAGTGCAAATAAATAGTACCATTTCTTTTATGAATTGCTGAACAATTATGGATATGCATTCTTTGCTTAACTATATTTTGTTTTTTCGCATAATGATAATACCAATTGTTTAAAGGCTAATACTATATTGATCCCTTCAAATTTTATAAATCTAATATTTGAGAGCTTACCAGTTGTGAAAAAAGTGTTTACAAGAAATATAGAAATGGTTTTCAAGTCACCGTATGTATATGCTGTAACAATGGGTGTTAACGATCCCAATTTTGTTCCAGTGTTTTAGATTTTTTTTAAGAAATTGAAATTCATACATATATTTGTAGGTTTCTCAAAAGAAACATTTTCAAATTGAGAGACTTATTTTTAGAGGAACTGAAAATGCTCATTGTTGGTAGTATCCGACGATGTCGTATATTGGGTATTGAAGGTAACCTTTGCAAGGCACTTTATTGTAGTACATCAGCCACTCAACTTGATTTACCGAAACCGAGTCCAACGAGTAAACTTGCTGCATTCAGAAAGGTAAACATTATTAAACTACAAGGATCTTGGTGTAAGACGCATTTCCAGTTTTATCAGTTTTAATTTTTGGCTTTTTCGAACATGCATTACAGGGAACAGGTGGTCGATGCAGCTTCTCTGGCAACGTTGTAACTGTTTTCGGTTGTACTGGATTATTGGGCAGGTTACTGATAAATAGACTTGCAAAAGAAGGTCATCAAATTATTTTGCCAAGTCGACAAGATCCATATTACACTCGACAACTAAGAGTTCATTTTCTCGTTTTGATTATTCTCTTGAGTAAAGAGTTTTTGGGATAAAAGATATTTTTCTTTTTTTGTTTTTCCGAGGTCTAAAATATGAGACATTGCACATTTAGTTTACAAAATTCGTTTTATTTGATTGTTATGTAGGGTGTCAAAAAATCTATGTAAGACTTTTGTCATTTTAAAAGCAAATCTGATAATTTAGGTACATGGTGAACTTGGTCAAGTACTGCTATTACCATTTCAATTAAAAGATGAGGAAAGTATTCGACAAGCTATCAGATACAGCAATGTAGTTGTAAATTTAATTGGTGCAAGATACGAAACAAAAAATTATTCATTTGAAGAGACTCATGTTGAAGGAGCTCGACGAATCGCTCGGATTGCCAAAGAAATGGGAATACAAAAGTCAGCGTCACAATTTTGTTAAAATTTATAGTTTAGATTTGAGTTCTATTGATTTCAGAGAAATTATCGACTGGATCATAAATATACGATCTTTTTTCAGATTTATTCACATGTCGGCAATGAATGCTTCTAAGAATACTCCACCGACACTATTCAATAAACCATCACAATTTCTTCGCACCAAAGGACTTGGCGAAGAAGTTGTCCGTGAAGAATTCCCAAATGCTACTATCATAAGGTTCTAAATTTCTAGGAAGTTACTCTATTTTTAAAATTCTAATAGTACTAACAGAGTGTTAAAACAGGATAGAAATTACTATTTGTGATGCTTTTTTTTTTTTGAAATATTCTACATCACTTGAAGTATTCAGGTTGATACATCTATTAATTAGCTACAGAAGTTTGTATAAAACTAATCAGCCTAATTTTATATGTAAGATTTTTCAATGCACCGAAATTTCAGACCAGGAATGATGTATGGAGGGAATTACGATGCATTTATTAATTATTTTCTAGCAATTCAGCGCATTCCGCACAGAAGCCTGATTTTCGTCTACAGGAAGGGCGAGCATACATACAAAATGCCCATCTGGGTAATATCCTTATGCTTTACATATGAAATAAATCCCAAATTTCATCAGTGTTGCAAATATATATTTGCGAGAATTGCAATGTAATTAAAGATCACATTGTTCTATTAGTATTGCATTACTTATGTGCAGATACTACGATTTTTATATGTAGTAGTTAGGCATTCTTAACATATTTGCTATGTGATAGAAGAGAAAAAGGAATGGAATATGTATTCGTTTCTTCAAAAGTAACGACAAGTCAATTTCTACAATCGCAATGTAAATTCAGTATTGGTTATCCAATCAGAAATTTGCTTACAATTTTCCAAAATGATGAGATTTTATGTCGTTCCCTTTGCCACTTTCAATCATTTATATATGAAAAAGCTATACAGTAACGATATCACTTACAGGTTGGTGATGTGTCAAAAGGTGTTGAGAGAACTATCGTAGATCCACATGCTATTGGTAAAACATACGAATTTGTTGGACCACACTGTTATAAACTGTCTGAATTAATTGACTATATGTATGATCGAGCTCATCTATCATCACGTTTCTTGCATCGAAATTATCGTCGTCGGAATTTAAATTACTTATATAGGTATTAAATTTTTTTTTTCTCATAAAATTTGGTTTACATACATATCTATGATAACTGGTAAATAGTTTTTAAATCTACGTTTATTGCAGGGCATATGTAGCCGCTGTTGAATTACCATTTAAGTTCTTCCGTAATCCGTCACCACTTAGCATAGAATGGATTCGAGTGGTTGAATGTACAAGTGATGTACTTACTGGATGTCCAATGTTAGAGGATCTTGGGATTACTCGGCTTGTTGAATTCGAATTAACAGGTGGTAAACACGCATACTTGTAAGTTACCAGATTGTTTAGTATCTCTATCTATTATTATTCATCTTGCTCAGTATTGTACTGTTACAATTAATTTTATGAGAGATTTTTGATTATTTTTTTGCGCTGAATACTGAATATAGCACTAATTTCTGATTTAGTTGTACTTATTAGCTTTGGTCCCAATCCAAAAAGCTGTATAATAGTTTAAATCTATCGACTAAATAATTGTAGTGTAGGGTGATCTTGTAGCTATCTGTAGTCTTTTAAACTTTTTATGCTAATTTTGTTTCGTTGTATATTAAATTTTTTGTGTAGGTTTTTCAAGTGAGAAAATACAATTTATGAAGCTATGCTAACATTTTTTGATCTCAGCTGTGTGAATCATTACAACGAGCAAGAAATCACTGAACCATATCCACTGCCACTTCGATCACCACCTTTATATGCAAATGTAAAGCCAAGTAATGATATCGTAACTGAATCGAAACCGTTTACCATGAGTACCGGATAATATAGTTATTGATGTTATCATTTTTATATGTTCACACGATAGCTCACTACTGGATGACTTAATAGATTATCTATGCTTTCATTGTAATTGTCGATAATGTGTAATCATCGATGAATGATGCAACGGTAAGTGTCGTAAATTTTTATTTTAGAGGAGATCATATGAAAAATTCTTAAACGTAATACTGAGGGAAGAAATGTTGAATTTTAATATCTATAAGTTAGCTAGTAATCTATTATTTTATTATGTCATTTAAACTTAATCGATTTCATATTACTTTCATAGTTCATCTTTATCTTTATCACTTTCAGTGTTTGCTTCCAAAGGTACTACGTAGCTCACAATTATTATATTTAATCTATGTGTATATTAAGGATTTATGTTTGAATTTAATAAACCTTTCTTTTTTCTGCGCACTTTTCTTTCTTACATCTGTAATAATCGCCTTCTTATTCTGCCATATGATTTAATCATTTTTTTGCTAAATAATTTCGTATTTAATGAAACAGGAATAGATCTGAAAGATTGATTGTTGATAAAATTATAAGTGTTATCAGGGACTTAAAGGATGTTTGTACAGATGGAATTTATCTAAGGTCAGAAATATGCCCAAAGAAGATTCACCAACATCAGCACTCGAGTTTGTTATTTCTTATTCTTATAGGTTATAAAAAAAAGGCGAATTTCATTACGTCAAACATTTTGATTTGTTTATTAGCAAAATAGCGAATGGCTGTGGGTAAACTGTATCTTTGAAATAGCTGTTTTCTGTCGATTCTAATAAATGATTTTGGGCATTAATACCCACGCTAAATTTGCAAATTCTGGATCTTATAGATCTGCCTGAATTGTTAGACAACAAAATTTTTGAACACTTTTATTCAGAGATTTGCATTATTATGGTATTTATTAATCCTCTTCACTCTTTTTGATTACATATATTTCCACTATTCCCTCTCGTATCGTTTTTCTTTTCATTTTCAGCTATGGTTGTGATGTTCAGAATTCATTATCAGCATCCGTAATACGATTAATTCAAATGGTTTTAAAAGGTGATAGCGAGGCGAAACTGCATGAGCAAACAGAAATCTCTATCAAGTTATATAGCGAATCGGTTGGTTTATATTATATTGTCTTATTGTTCATCTATTTATTTTTTATTTCTTCATTACCTTTCATTCTGAAACACCAAAAACCATCTCAATGGTGACATTTTTGCTGATTGACGACATTTTATAATTTATCTTTTTTGAAAGGTCAGTATAGCAAATGATATGTTTTTAGTTTACTTACAATTTTTTGAATTATGTTTAATTAATGTTCAACTGTGACTCTGTAGAAATCAACTACCAAATGATAATTATATCAATTTATGTAAGATAACACATTTATAGGCTGCGAAAAATATGTCAAGCTATCGTTTTTTATTGAAAGGTACCGATCAGAGTATGAGTTTCTCGACTGCTACTTTCCAGGATGTAAACAATCGCTCAACTGATGAATATTTGGGTCAGCTGTTGAAAGCTATTGAGGTTAGTGAACTCTTTACCCTTACGAAATGAACTGAATCATTTATGTTGGCCTTTATTGATCGACTCATGATTACGCCAATTTGCACTTTTTTTGAACTTTGTTTTTTTAGTTTTCAGTGTTTTTTTTTTTCCTAGTATTGCCTTTGCTATTTTACTATAATTATTAAAACCTCACATATTTGATTATAGAAGTTTTTTACGTCTAATATGCATCATAACAAAATATTAGCTAAATTAAATTGATTGATAGTTTGGAGATTCTTTTCTTTCTGGGGTCTTTTGGGATGGATTTATCACTGGAAAATAGTACTCAAAGACCTTAAGTATGATTAAGAAATTGGACTTAATATTCTTATAGTTTTCAACAGTCTGTTGTTACATCAACAATAGGCATTGTAGTCGAACTATGTTCATATTTCGAAGTGCTATAAGGGATTATCATTTAAATGGAAGTTTTAAAAATTCAAAGTTTGACTTCAGTTTTATTGCTGTGAAACATTTTTTCCCAGGTATGTCGCAGTGAATTAACAACTTCGTTCTTCTGTCAACTTCTTTTAGGCTTCATCACTAGCTGTAAACCTTCTGGTTTGTTTTTCTTTTTCTTTTTTTTTTCTTTTCGCTATGGATTGAAAAACTATTATTATATCATAAAATATTTACAGTTTCACATTTACTTGCACACTTACCTTTATCAGGAATCACATAAAATGTTATACCTTATAAAATGCTAAGTTAAATTCTTCAAGTATACCTTAAAAATCGAGACTGTAAAATAGAATTAGTATTTCTCCTTGTGCTATGCAAGCATAAAGTGTTAGTGTGTTATTGTAGCTCATACAATTGAATTTTTATTAGTTATTTTGAAGCATTCTCAAAATTCACTTTTTCACTGAACGATTAGAAAAATTGGGATTAAATCCTAATTTTTTTGCTGCTTTATATCTGCTTTTTCTTATAAGTTTACTCATTTCTTTCAGGATTTTTATCCAGTATATTCTAGTTTTTTTCAGCATCACTAATACGTCAGCGTCGCATAATTCGTTTAGATGGAACAAATTCGCTCATTAGACGTTTTGTGTCATTTATTGCCGAATCAGTATATTGTAGCAGTATTGATATACTCTCTTCTCTTCTTATTATGTTATATGTTAGAGGTAATATGATTGACAACTCTCTTAATTGATTAAATGATTGCTAGAAATCTATTATTTTTTTTTTTCAGAGTGAAATGAAGGCGATAATAATTTTCCTAATTTGCACTTTACACTTTTTGCAGACAAAAAATTTTGTCTAAAAGTTCGTTTGGACGGTTTGATTATGCTATTTCGAAAGAAATTATTGTTGCTTGCTAAGGACAGGAAAATGATATCGGTTTTGCAATTATGTTGTTGCTGTATTCGTTCAGGTATATTTTTGTTTATTATTTAATAATTGAGTTGTCAAATAGTAAAACAGATGGTTTTCATAATTAAAACGGCGGAATTCCAGAACTTTGGTGATTAAGTTCAAATCTAAGAGATAAAATCACAGAGAGAAAGTGATTAAGTGACAAATAAAATGTAAAAATAAACCAAAAAAAAAGGCCATAAGAAGAAAAAGTGCTATGGTATCTATCTTTCTCCACTTGTTTTCGAGTGCATTTTGTTCTGTTTTCGTTTTGAAAGAAGTAGAATTGAGCAGTTTGATTAATTAGAAAATTTGAAATATCGTTTTTTTTTTTTGTTTTTTGTTTTTATTTTTTTCTTCTTGAACTTTATTGCATATAAAGATGCCCAACCAAGATTAATTAGAGCAGCGGTTTGGTAATTGATATATTTTTCTGAGATTTCTGTAAGGAGGTCAATATTCAGCAATGTGATCTTGCATTCATTCAGAAATAACTTCAGTTTAAGGAAGTGAACCGTTCATGATTGAAATTATAAAGTTGAAAATTATTTCAAATATTTTAATTCAGTGCAAAATGCGCGAATGTTTGGCAGAAGTCAAGAATTTGTAAAAAACTTGATAACATCAATTATTTCTGGAACAGATGCAATAATTGTGGCTCGCCTTACAGAAATACTTTATATTATCATCAAATTCAGTACGTGTTTTATTTTATTTTATTTTATTTTTTTTTTTTTTTTTCATATTTTCAACTATAGCATCAATTCAGCAGTAGTAGCAAAATTTCTTTTGTTATTTATCTTCTTTATTTGTTTATAAAGATGATATTTTTATTGTACTGTCATATTTTTCTGACTTAAGGAAATATGGAATGTTCATTTAAAATATAAATTTTATATCGTGAATTAGTTCATGTAAATTTAACAGCAAAATTTCCAGAAAATCGTCTCGTAATGACTGTGCTGGAGTCAAATGATATTTTCGCTATGTTAACGAAAACGTTTCAAAAGTATTTTCAACAACAATTCATTGCATCTGAACAGACTCTCCTCGAAATTTGCTTGTTTACAGTGGCATCGTTAAGAGATTTAATGAGACTAAGTAACTCTAATTAATTAATTAATTGCATTTTCAACTGTATTTAAGCAGTATTTCTATTTTGGAGCTTTTAAATGAAGAAAATGGTTTTTTTTTTTCCAGTTCTGTCCTTAGTAAGAGAAAGATTGTGATAAAGTACTGGTATTGTCGGGATTTAGAACGTAACAGAGAACGCCTACTAGCTATTGGTGCAATGGAAACGTTTGGTTCAGCTATTTCATTCATTAGGAACGACAACGAATACTTGGATGATAATTCACAATTGGGGCGGTCTATTATAAATCTTAAGGTTATTTTTTATAACAGTAAACAAAATCTCTTATAAATTTCGGGTTTAATTCATTTTTGATGTTTTTCGGATTTTAGAAATCAGTACTTCCAAAGGCCTTTGAATTTTTTTAAACATTTCAGAGATTGATAAATATGATAACTAATTCAATATAGGTACATTAATTCTCTGAAAATTCTAATGTTGTTGGAAGTCAGTGTCTGACCTCATTTTCTTTTGAAATTATTATTTCGGTTTGAATCAAATCCTTAATTTTCCATCTTTTTGATATAAGGATCATTTATGGAAAAATTGTGGAATGTCTTAATACACTTTCGCATTATTCTTTGTTACTACTTACACTTAAATTGTGTCTCAAGTTATCATATACATCATAAAAAGTTGACAAATGCATGATATCCTCTTCGCTTCAGTCAATAACTCAACTGGTCAGTAAGCCTGATTTGATAACTGACACCAGAACTCTTTAGGAGATTTATTTATGAGCTTGTTCAAGTGTCATTGCGTCATCTTGATAACTTAATTCACTAAATTTTGTCAAATTCATATTCCACTCTCACTTTGTTCTGAGTTAGCTTCTCTACTTGATACTTTGTTATAACTTCAAATTATAAAATACTATCTAAATCTTATAAAAAAGTAAAGTTATCCAAATCTTAAAAATGCTATGTAATCATTATTAACAACATAATGGTTGAATAGCTACACATCAAATACAACGAAGTGCTGAATACTCATATTACCAGTCTTAAAAGAAATTTTCATACTCTCACGATGTTGAAGTATAAAATAATTTCAAATCATAAAATCGTAGCTTCATTAAATGTGTTTTTAATCAGAGATTCAAAATTGTCCATTCAACTGCCAAATCAAAGACTCTTATATTATTCGTTTTATTCATATTTTTCTATTCATTTTATTTGAATCAGATCTGATACTGCTGACTGTTTGAAATGTTCCCAAGCTGTTATAATTGGTATTTTGTTTCAAAATGTCGAATATGTTTGTTTTTGAGTCTTTAAATTCCAGTTTGGATTGAATCTCTCATGAATCTACATGAAGTTCCAATTTTTTTTTTAAAGTCGTTTTTTAAATTTTTCTTAGCTTATTTAAATTTAATCAGATAATTGCAGTGGAAAAAAGAAAGATCTCAGAAATTGAAATTATATTTCAAAGAAAATTCTCGTCAATTTTGAATTTTCAATAATAATCTTTTTCATTAATTTAGATGTATTGCAAAGGAGTACTTCTTATAGTAGATGCATCATATCTATAGCCTAACTTATGGTCCGAGATTTGGTAAAAACATCAGTTCCAAGTCGTCTAAAGTAATTACATTTTGTCATCTGAAACAATTTTCCAATTTTTTTTTAATTTCCATGCTATGGAACAGTTTCAAGTAAAAATGAAATTGAATTTCGTTGTTGAATATAAGATGAATGTACATTTCAGCAAACAAATTATATTTTTCATCCTCATTTCATAGTCTTCTCTATTCTCATACTATGTTTTCCTCAGTTATCGTTATAAATATTTTAATTGTAAGTCACTGGCTCGTTCTTTTATTATCTTTGATATTTATTGAATTTGTTCTATTTGTAGTTTTCGATAAGTTATCAGTTGTTGTTATTCTCTGGAGCAAAGACAAATTTACTGAATTATTAATAAAAATATATAATTATTTTTCACATTTAACAAAATTGTTTTAATTGTTATTTTTGTTCAAACTTCCAGCAAAACTTTATTCTCAACTCCGCCCATCACTTTAGCTCTTATAATCAATGCAAAACAGTTGATTTAAAATTAAAAATCTCTCAAACAGATGTGTTAATGTTGTTAGACACTTGTCTACTAATTATCACTGTGTCTGATTGTTTGATTGTTTGTGAGATTCATTTCAAATTAACAATATCATCTTTTCTATCAATTTATCAGTCAGAAATAGAAGTTAGCCGTCTCATTTATCTCTTATCTTTTATCTTTTCTAACAGTTGTGATATACAGGTGATTCAAAAAAAAATTTTTAATTCGACTATTTGTGCAATTTTAAAATAAATACTTATAAGAAACAATGGTTATGGTGAATATAGCAGCTTATTTTTCACTTAATATTAATGCAATTCAATCTAAACTTTTTGCTAGTATCATACTTTGATATCTCATTAGATTTCATTGCTCTTATTTTCACTTTCAGTTGTTTAAAAATTTTTCTTTCAATAACATTCTTTTCATTAACTCTTATTGTAAAAATTAAATTTAGATTGAATTTCAAATGTTTAAACATTTAAAATTATGTCTGCTTTTCTAAATTTTACTTTTTATATCAATTTTTAAAGGCTAATATTTTGATAAATCTAGTAAGTTTCAAAATATTTCAGGATTCTTTAATTGCATTGTGTATGAGTTGCTTACCTCTTCGTCCATTTCCAATAGCCTCATCCACACCACCACCAATTATTTTCCCACTTCCTAAAATAGGTTGCAGCAGTGCACAACAACAATCCACTTGGTATGTTTATTGAAATTTATCATTTGTATTCTTTCACCTGTATTATATTAAATATTAACTCATTTTTATTTCTTTGAAAATTTAACTTTATTTATGTGTGTTTATAATTCATAATTCATCTTAGGTTGCATGGAAAAAAAGTTGAAGAAAATTTCTTGTATACTTCTCCAGTACAACAAGATAAGCCTACTTTAAGTAGTGGTATGGTTTAATTTTGTTTGATAAGGAAGGAATTGATTGATCAAATAAGTAGATTCTTATTGTGTCATAACGTTTAGAAAAGTGAAATGAGTTATGTTATTAGAAAAAAAAAAAGAAAATTATTAATTATAAAAGAAAAAGATGAAATGAGTTGTTATAAATGCTGCTAGTTATTAATTATGATTAAAAAGTTATTAGAATTAAGACGCACCAAAATATTTAATAAAATATTTGATTCACAGATCAACTTCAAGAAGTATATGATTTACATTTTGAAATTTTAAAAAGAAACGAGTTTTATATTAAATTTTGGTTCAAAATTTTTGTCTAGATATGAAAGTAACGATCGATGAAGTATAATGAGCATAACTTGGAAGTAGTTTAAAGGCTGGTTATAAGGTTTTTTTTTTTTCAATGAATTTACAGTTGTTAACTATAATTATTAAAGTAAGGATATTCATACTATTAAATCGATGTAAGTACTATAGATAATTTAGCTTTTACAAATTAATTTTCATGCTTCATCACTTTAGAATCCTTTTTATCGATACAAGTTAAGAAAGAGTAAAAAAGTATGACATTTTGATAAATAAGATGGTATTAGTACTTGAAATATTAGTATTAAAATAAGTTTAAGGTCTAAATATTCATATTTAAATGCTAGATTTTAGTTTTTGATTTCACACATAAAATTATGCTTAACGGGTCATAGGTCATGGTTTACAGATGAAGACGATGGTGACGAAGAAGATGAAGCATTATTTACAGTAGCACCATTGCATGACAATGACAAGGATAGCTCACATCCAGTATCTGCGTGCTTCCATCACCATCAACTCTCTTTAACTGAGTTAACCGATGACTATGTTCATTATTTCACTGAATTTTTTCAAGGGACTATTAGAGCAGGTTCATCTTCAATGACGACAATTTTGGAGACAGAAGTGGAAAATTTCGCAGATTTGGTAGCAAAAGCAGTGAAGGCAAATATTATAATTGATTTATTTTAATTACAAGTTCTTGAAATGAAAATCAGCTTTGAAATTTGATTTCAGTTTTAAATTTTTGGTACAATGCATGCATAAGTGCTTGTATTTTAACACATAATTTGTTGTATTAACAAATTTCAGAAGACAAGATCGCCATCAGTTTTCATAAAAATTGCTTATCCAACAACAATTTCTCCAACAAATTTATTTTCTGTTTTGCAACCACTGGCAAAGATCAATTCACGGTATGAAAGCATTTGAATTATTGAATTCAATTAATTTTTTACCTTGTATATTTGTAAAACTAGTTCCATGAATATTTTTTTCAGTTACTTATGAAAATTCAGTTACTTGTTGAAAACAAGTGTGAACTTAATGCGAAGTTTAAAATCTAGATTCGTTATTCAACTCCTCATCACTTCTAAAACTAGTTTTAAAAAAAGCTGAAAAACCTTCTCGCATGTGCATAAGTTTTATTCTTTAAGAGATCTATTGATAAAAGATATAGCACATTTGCAAGAGGAATCATCATTCTCTACTCGTATTGTTTATGATTTGGATTGTTTGGTTTGCGATAAAACTAAAGTTCTTACAACCTGGAAAACAATTGGAAACGATGATGAAAATCGGTATTATCCTTATATTAATTAACTTATTTGATTTTACTCTTATGAATTATTTGTAATTTGCTATTTATAAGTTCGCATTAATTATTAATTATTTCTAACTCTACGAGTAACACCAAAATATGGTTTGGAAAACAGTAAAGCAACTTCAAATAATTTAAGAACTATTGTGATACTAAATGTGAACTGAATTACTGGTGCATTTTCATTTCAGGATTGGCAAAATGGATTCCAAAAATCATTTGCTATTTGAGAGTCGATTTGAAGGTGGAAATTTAAGACGAGCCATCCAAGTATTATTTTTCAATATCTACAAAGTTGTAAATGACCATTTCAAAAATTCACTTTATTGGGAGAGAATTGTTGTTTTAGGTAAATAAATGGCATTATCAGTTAATACTGTCACCAGATATCAACCAGTTACGGTCACATTTTCAATGGTTCTTTTTCGAAGTTTCCAACAATGAGGCAGACGTGGATTATATATTTGAAATTATTAATTGCTTCAAAAAGACATCAATGTTTAATCGTGGTAATTATTTTATCTTGACTTTAACTATTTATCAAATCTCTTATATTTTAGATGTATTTTTTAGAAGATACTTTCTTCGAAGAAATTTTTCATAACATAAATAATTGCAATTGTTTGTTATGATTCCAGTAGAGTACACTAAAATTGTGCAACAAAAATTTAATTCCTGAAAAATAATTAACGATATTTACGATAATATAATAAATAAAGCAAAGATGGTTATGAATAACTCCAAGAACTATTTGTTTGTAGGTATGCAACCAGTATTATTCTCAGTTACAGAAGCTTGTCAAGGAAATCCTAAATGGGTACGTACAGGTTCAGCAATATGTTATTGTCGTAATGCTTTCATCCGCAATGACTCTCGAAAACTAAGTGATGCATCTGCTCCAAGGTATTTCGATTCACAAATTTGTTATTTTGAAGATGAATATATAGTGTTACTAGTGAAACAAGTTCGAATTCGAAGAGGCATAATACTTTGTCAGATGTTTGCGTTTTTCAAACATTTTTGTCTTTGAACAATATTCATTTATTCAGCATTTTTGGAGTTTCAACGGTATTATCATGTGGCGTAGCAATATGAAATTCCATATTTTTATCAGAGAATTAAAACTTCAGATTTTTTTTATGCTAACAATCAAAGCATTATTCATGATTTTAAAGGATGGAACAAAGATAAATGTGTGAAATGAAAAAGTTTATCTCTACTATATGATTCTCTATTTTTTCAGGCACTATTTTTCGCTGTATTTTACAATCAGATTTAAATATCGCGCCGATGTATGCTATATTGCATATCATTTCCCGTACACATATTCGATGCTTCAGGTAGTTCATCTCTGAATTGAATTGAAATTATTTTAATGATGATTCTGAGTTCGAATGTTAAGATGGAGCAAATTGAACTTGTGAACTATGAACTACGAGTTAATTGAGCTTATGAATTATGAAAAGTCAAGCACCTATTAAATAGCTAAATAAAACGAGCTAGAAACAGATGACCTAAATATGGTGAGCAGTTATATTATATTAAAAAATGAACAGAGTTTAGTATATCTTATATGACTGTGAGCGTAATATAATACAAACTATATTACTATTTTATTTAATTGGAAAAATTTCAAAAAATACTTGGTATATAATCATGAGTCTTATATATCTACCATTTTTCAATTGTATTTCTAGTTTTAATCTTTTTAACTTTAAACTTAAAAGGATAACTAAGGCATTTAAGAGGAAATTGCTTAGAAATGCTAACTTTATTTAGTAATAAAAAAATGAAGAGATAAGTTAGATATAAATAAATAAATATATATGTATAAGTTGTATGATGTAAGAATAAATTGTAATATTGTTCAAGCGACAGATTTGTATCTGCTATAGAATACTTAAATATGCATTTATTATGTTAAAATTATCAGATAAACATTAGTATTAAATGCATTTATAGGCAGTGTAAATTTTTATGAATAATTTCAGGCTACCTTAGAAAGATATTTGTCGAAAAATGACACGAGAGGACAGCGCTATGTTCGTAATGATAAACTCTGTACATCATTAGCTGGTAATAGTGTGTCACTCCTTACAGTGACCGCTAATGGTACTAAAAAACAATTAGATGATCGCCAGATCATATTGATCTTTGCTAGAGTACATCCTGGAGAAAATAATACAAGTTGGATTATGCATGGTACACTTTTTGTATGTCTATGAATAAACCCAAAAGTAAGATAACGTACTTAAATGAAAGCAAAATAAATTAAATTGTATAGGAAGTGCTTTGAATTGAGTATTTTTCTCTTTTCTCTCTTAAACTTTTTCTCTCTCTCTCTTAAAAGTATTTTCTCTCTCTAAAAGTATTTTTCTCTCTCTTAAACTAGTAGCTAAACTATATATCTTTAATATTATATAACATATACGCTTAGTGGAAGTAATTTTTATTTTTTAATCTTTTGTTCATTTTTTCTTTTTTCTTTTTTTTTTTTTTGATCTATAATAATGGGTAAACTTACTCTCAAGGAAAGAGTTATCAGTAATGAAAAATTTAGTTTAAATCTGAATTTGTAATGTAATTGATGGAAAATGATTTTGAATTTATAACCGGATGGTTACTGTGTTTTACTAGGAAAACGTAGATTACATAGGTTTAATTTAAATTTAAAAAATCTATTTACGAATATTTGATGTTATCATCATCTGTATATAGCTTCTAATTAAGTTAAATTGTTGTGATTGATCAAAATTTTAAGGCATTATGGAGTTCTTGATGAGCGATAAGGAAGAAGCTATGGAGCTTCGTGATCAGTTCGTATTTAAATTAATTCCAATGTTAAATGTTGATGGTGTAGTGAACGGTTCACATCGTTGTAGCTTAGCTGGTGTAGATTTAAATCGAACCTGGGATCAACCTTCATCAGTATTGCATCCTGTTATTTTTCATAGTAAAGCTATTGTACAGTATATAGTAGGTTTTCTTCTTTTTTTTTTTTTCTTGTCTATTTATTCTTAATCACATTCTTACGGTCTAAATTCATGTGCCATATTAATTTTAGATTTGTGTATAATTCATAAACTTAATCTTTCCTTTTTGAATCAAAGGAATTTTGACTTTTTTTGCACTCTGAGTTTTGTTTATTAATAATACTTGTATTTAGTGAATTAATAATGTTTGATTTCTAGTATTTATTATATGATTTTTACTTTATTTCTAATAAGAGATGAAGAATTAAAAATTTCAGGTCGATGTACTTGGAAAGAAGCCATTTTTATTCATTGATTTACATGGTCATTCCAACAATTTCAATTTGTTTCTTTATGGAAACAATCCTGATAACTCATGGCGTATTCTAGATCATTCGCTTCCAGGAAGAAATGATTTCATGTCGCTTCCATTGCTTCTGCAGCAGGTATAATTTACAGATGATTTAATTTAAATAGAAATATGATATATTCGATTTTAATGGATTAAGTACGAATGTATTTTTTACTACCAAAAACTTTGTCATATGTAAAATTTTACTAAATTCTTTTCATTTTCTTTTCATAATTAAACAATTTATTCTGTTAAGTCACGGGAAATTTTTCCTCAGATGTGTAATTACTTTTCACTATCAAATTGTCGATTCAATATAACCAAAACTAAAGAATCTTCGGCTCGTGTAACACTGTGGAAGCAGTTTGGAATCACTCGATCGTATACTCTAGAATCTACTTATTGTGGTTTTAATTGTGGTTCTTTGAAAGGTTATCAGGTTGGTATTTCAGTGTTGTGGCTAGCTGAAATTTAGTTTCTATGGCAGGTTATTTCAAGTGATAAAGTTAATCATTTCTTCTTTTTCATATGGAAATTTTGTTGTTTTTTATAATTTAAGGATATGATCGTTTAGCATTAAAAAAAAACCATTTTTTTGATAAAGCAGGTTGTAATTTATTGTTAGATAGAAATTATTTAATGCCATATGGTGAAATTTGAGTTGTCCAACGATTTGGTTATTATCGGAAAGAAGGGAAGAGAAGACATATTCGTCTAGCATGTTAAATTGAGTTTGAATCTTTGTATCTTTGTTCTTTTTTTTTAAAAAAAAAAAAAAACATTATTTTATGTTTTTAGGTAAATATTGAACATCTAATGGATATGGGTAGACAGCTGTGTAAGACATTTAGCTATTTGAAGAACGATAACCCTTCGAATCAGAAGACAGATGATGACGATTCGGAGTAATTTGATCAAAAACGAAAATATGTAAATCGCCTTTCTGTGGATTTTATTATCAATTGCTTCTGAATATGGAACATAGTGTGAATAACTGTGACACTTGACATTTCATAAATTTGAAATATCGGTAACTGCGATATGACTGAATAAATCTGAAAAACCTAAATCTTTACACTTTCATATGTCTTAGTACATAGTTTTAAATTCATAAATCTCAGGTTAAATTAGCAACCTAGTTTATAAAACCCTTTTCCCTTTCCTGTGTGTTTAACTTTCAAACATTAATTCAGCTTAATTGAATATATGACTTTCTTAAATCAAACTTACCCAATCTGAAGTTTAAGAAATTACGCTCATCGTTGTTTTCCTTACGAATTTATTGTTATTGTTTCGTGTGTTTAAATGTCAAAATATTTTTAATCACATTTATTTTCGTTCATTTGTCCATCTTTCTTCTTCAATGATTCTCATTTTTAAATTGAATTTTTTGTGCTGTGATTGAATTTCCACATAAATTTCCTACTGGTGGTGTTATGAAACAAATATTAACTTTGCTATAAATCAGAAATTTTTTAATTAATAGTCAATCAGTGAAAGTTTTTTTTTTTGGAAAATTGTTCTTTCATACAGTTAATGTATCCAATGCACTTTAATTTCTTTAGGTATGGTATGGCAGATAGTTATGTTCGTGTTCGATAGACCAACGCACTTCGAATTTATTTAAATATAACTATGTTTCAAGTGATGTTTATTTATTTGTTGTTTGTATATGTGTATGCGTGTATTTACGTGTATGTTTACGTGATTTATGTGTATGTATGTGTGATAGTTGTTCATTTGTTCAATCGTGATTTTTCATTTGTATACTAGTCTCAATAAATGTATATATATATCTTTTATTGTATTGTGGGTGATCGAATCTCTCTTATAATAAGTTTCATTTTTATGTTTTGATCTCGGAAATCTCTTTCGTAATTGTTGTCTCATGTATACAACTAATTTGACCTTAGTCATTACTGAAGTATTTTAATTTAAGATTTTATACTGTATTGTAATGCTGTTAAAATGATTGTTAGCTTATGGATAAAGAGGAAGTTGAAATGAAAAGTAGGTGATGATGATGATGATGATGATGACATATTTTAATTAAAATTTTTTGAATTTTAGAAAAATGTTTTACATTTTGGTGAGAGTTATATGAAAAAACAAAGACTAGTAATATGAAGAGATAATGGTTGTACATAGGGTTTATTTATTTTTTACAGGAATTGAAGAGGTTCTAATCTTTAGCTTATTTATTTATTTATTTATTTTGCTTTTTTTTTTTGTGCTAACAATTCGAGGAAAAAAAAAGGGCTCTAAAATGAATTATAAGTCGACATATGGCATATTTACGGTAACCTTGATTACTATTCACAGGTAGCGTACTCCATCAGTAAATTGCCTATTTTGATTTCGGCTTCAACCTTTCATGTGAATTTCAACAATTTATGTTTAAATAATAAAAAATAACGCATGAGAAAGCATAATTTTGAAATTATTATTTAGTACAACTTAGGTTTTTATTTCTTGTTACTATTATTAATATTTACTTCTTTTAAAAATAATTGCAAGAAAAAAAATGTGAAAAGACTAATCAAATGGCTATTAAGTGGTAGCGAAAAATAAAAAGAGTCAATTCGAGAAACTAAATTGAGTTTCTTTCCTCTTCGAAATTTTACCTTAATTGATTGTAACAACAATTTCGTAGATTGGACTTTGCTATGCTTACCAATAATAAATTAAACTTTTAATAGTCTAATTAGATTTTAGAACCGTCAAACAAGCCTAGACTAAGTTAATAATGGTAAATTTTTCCTCAGCCCCACTAACTTTTATAATTACAAGTTTACCATAGCCTAAGTTATTTGTTCATCTTATTAATCAAACATATTTCAAGAAAGAATTTATTAATTTTTTAAGGATTAAAGATTGTCATTACCATTTGAAATATGTTTCCTCCAATTCATTCTACTTTAAAACAGTAATAATGTCAAATCATTACTAATCAAATAATTACTAATTAATGAGTATTTTTTTTCGATATTGTTTATTTACAACAATTGCATTTATTCAATAAAATAATAGGTTTAAACTTTTTTTACTTATTTACCCATTAAATTATTAGTCAATCATTTTCCTTCCATTTATCTTATAATTCCATATTAAAAAAAAAAAGTGAAATTAATTTTAGTTTCGTTACACTAAAGGAAGACAAAGTGGGAGAGGGAGAGAGAGAGAGAGAAAAAAAAAAAAACTTTTAAATACAAAGAAGCAATGATAATGAATGAATGATACAGTAATAGTTCATAAAAGAGTTAGAAGACCTTATTGTCATCAAATGTCCTACATTTCATATACCTGTCGTTCTCCCTTTGACTTTCCTCCTTCCATCTATGGAATCCATTAAGAACCAGCAACAATCCATTTTAACAGGTATGATGTTGATCGTATTTTTCTCTTTCAATCTCTCTCATTTTTATGCTATTTCAAATGTAATTGTACTAATTGATAATGCATAGCAATATGACTTAAACTGAGGTGAATAATTTGACGAAATGCTCTTCTCTTCTCTTTAAAGCATATCGTCAAAAGTGATAATTGGATTAGCATTTTCCTAAAATAGTTCCATTCTATGACACATCGTTCTCCTTTTTCATTCAACCAATAAGATTACCTATCTCCGCCTCCTCCCCAACCTCTGCTACCGTATCCATGAAATGATGTGACAAATTGTGGTTGTCTGGATGAATGGATAGATGGATGGCAATCAAGATGATTATGGTTGCTAAATGATGGATGAGTTGTGCGGTAGTAGTGCTCTATTAACTAGTACAAGTCATCATCATCATCATTCTATTAGCTCATTGATACAACGAAATGGTCGGTTATCTTTTACGCAAAAATTTCATACAATTTTCAATTAATTCTAATTAGTATGATTAATGTGATAACAATCTAAATATCATAACAGATAAGCTTGTATCAATTTATTTTAAAAGTATGAATGGTTCATATGTTGATTGTAAATTTAATCGTTTTCAAATAAAATATGGACATTTTTATCATAAAATAAATGTCGTGATGATTAGCAAGAAAATGGAATATTTGAAAGAAGGAAAATTTTCAGAAATACAACATGGACATGTAAAAATTCCGGATTTGATTACTACTTCAGTAACATCAGGAACACATCAACAACAACATAGTGATGCTAACAAACGTAGGGATAGGTTAGTTAGTAATTTTCTTTTTCCAGTATAACGAAAAAAAAAATTATAGTACAATCATTGTCAGAAATTTTATATGTTTAAAAATTCTAAGCATCTCCATTGATGAGAAAATGAATTAAATTTGGATTTGAATTTAAATTTTTAACTAAAATTTAAACTTCAGACTTTAAAGGATTTATTTATCTTTATTGTTTAATTAATTAATTATTTGATTAATTAATTAATTAACTCACTTGTTTAGATTTTAATGTCTTACTAGATGAATTATTCTTAAAATAACTTTGTCAGTACTTCTTTACCTTCTTGACATACTTTTATTAACATCTACTTTTCTGCATCCAAACATTCACAATTTTCTAAATATTTTACATTGTAAGCATTAATATCACCAAATTCCCTTATTAGCAGTGCTCTCTTCATTTAGGTTTAGTTACAACTTTTAATAAACATAGTGTAAATTCTAAGTATATTATAATAATAAGTATAAGTTAGTTATGATCATAATAGCATATTAAAAATCACTAAATCCAAAAATCAGCTCTTAAAAAACACTTATCAATTCAATGATATGCAGAACTCACGCTTAGTTTGGTTTATTTAAATTATATTTAAATTTTTAATTGAAGTTTAAACTTAGAGATCTACAAAATTTGTTCATCTTCATCGTTTGTTATTTTTTTTAAATTTCAATATTCAACCAAAAATTTAAATTAAAAGAAATTAAACTAAAAATTTAAATAAAAGTTTTTTGTACTTAGATTTTTATTCAAAATTTTGTTCATTTCAGAAAAAAAATGAAATACTTTATTTTTTTTTCCTTTAATAGCAATATTTATAATATTTATGATTTCTAGATGGTTTTCCGGGAAAATATTTTATTGAGAAAGTTCGGTGATTTCTATTTCAGAGAGTCAAAGAAACAGAGGCGCAATAGGACCACGTTTACAACATTTCAGCTTCATGAATTAGAGCAAGCTTTTGAAAGATGCCATTATCCTGATGTTTATGCCAGGGAGGTATGTTATTCGATGAAATTCCTAAATTTTACTCTCTCTTCTTAATTTGATTAAATTTTGAATTACTGTACTTGAATTCATACTTGAATTGCTATAGTTGTAGTTAAGTTGTAGTTCAATTACAGTTTTTCAATGAATGATATTGTTGCAACAATGATAAATGATTTTTCTCTTAAACTATTTCAAACAAAAATTAGAAATTTATATTTGTCCCTATTCTATTACTTTTTGAAATGAAAATATTTCAATTTAAGGCAAAACTATTAGCAAGCAATCCTTCAAATTTTTTTAAAATAGCACTTTATCACTTTAAATTTTATAGTAAAAAAGATCTTTTTTTTATTTTATTATATTTTTAGTTATTGGCTCAAAAAGTGAAACTTCCTGAAGTTCGTGTCCAGGTTAATTATTCATTTCATTTCTTATTTTTATATTTTCTTCTTCCTCTAGCAATTTATTACATATATTTGATGTTATCTTTAATTTTATTATTATTTTTTTTAATCTTTTAAAAAGCTAAGCATTTGTAAGTTTATCACTATTTAATAGTTTTATATAAAATTAGAACAAATACTTTTGAGTTCCAAAACATTGCATTTAAAACTTTAAATCAACTAAACGTTATATTGTGATACTTTTGGAATTCTGAAACTTTTTAATTTTATCTTCTGTAGAAATCTTTATGACAATCTTAAAGTTTAAATGGAATGATTAAATG